CCCGTTCCTTCTCTCTCTGTATGTATTTTGGCATTTCTCTTATCTATACTAAGGTTAGGTGATAACAATTGCCTTACCGATCTATCTACACTGGCATTGGAATGCCTTGTCGGCCTCGCCCCAGCCTCCGACTCATCCGTCCAGCTAATTCTGTGTGGATTATCACTTCCGGCTCCCTCTGGACTAGCCCGGATGTGTGCGTTGATAGACTGCTCTCCAGTAGGCTTGCTGGCGCTGTTTGTTGAAACGCTCTCCTCATATTGCCTTGGAGAGCTGTTCGTTCCTACATCATCACATTCAATAATTTGCCCGTCGGGCTTCTTCCGGAATGTTCGGGATCTGGTGATGTTGGAGGAGCTAGATATTCGAGCCTGCTCCTCTTCTCTCCTTCTGGGGGCAGTGTACATCTGACCCTCCCCTCCCCGGCTGGGAAGAGGACCGACAGCCGCGACTGCTAGTATTTCCAAATCAGGAGGGTGGTAAAATTCTTCTTCAGCACGAAATTGACTTCCGTCGTGTTTCTTCACGGATTTGGCAAACGTAGCATATTGTTCAGCCTCGATTTCTCTCTGACCGTGAACAGGAATCGTCCTGAACTGCGCTGACAAACTCTCTGATGCAGTAGCTTCTGTTTCCTTCCTGAAAGTTGAAAACCCGTCAGAGTGTCGCAGATTCAAACCTTTCTCAGTAGCCTCGGCGATTGCAGCTCCATTATTTCCGAATGGTTCTGTCTCTTTCCTGTATGTTGAGAATCCATCAGACGGGCGAAGTTCGTTAATATACACGCCTGCACTGGGATTTTCTTCATAAACGTGACGAGAATGAGTTCCATCAAGGGGAGCAAACTCATTCGCAGCACACCTCCGCTCTTGGCTTGCAGGTCTATGTTCTTGTGTACCTCCATGACCGTTTTCGCCAAATGTAGCGCACTGACCGTCTCGTTGCGAGCCTTGGAATGCTTGGTTACCCTGTGGTAAATTGCTGCCATCAGCCAAATCAGCACGTTTTCCTTTCTTGTAAGTTCTAAAGTCCAGTGCCGCAGGATCATTCTCGTAATGCTGGACCACTTCTTGGTTGAAATCAAACACGTATGCTTCAGATTTCTTTGCTCTGCTGACAGTTACAGAGTTTCTTTGCTCGTTTTCGTTCGTCTGAGGGTTCAAATTCTCACTTGCAGTCATGGGGTCTTCTTGAGCTCCGTGCGAGTTTGACAAGGAGCGTTCGAAAATCACCACATCCCCCGGACTGTCCTGCGCGGTCATATCACGCGGTCGAAAAGCAGCTTCTGGTCGGGTATCATCCCGTTGTCCTCGGATGTCGTCCCGTTTCCCTCGGGCAAAAGCAGGCGAAGGTAGAGGAGAACTTTCCAGGGAGTCCCGTCGACCGTCCACGCCCTCGGCTGGAAAAGCCTCATTTGAATCGCCGCCGCCAGAAGACAAAACAAGCGGTCTCAACCCAGACAGATCTGCACTTGAATTCGTTTCTTGATGACTACGTACCCTGAAATCGCTCGGTTCTGGATACGCCGATTGGCTGCTTAAGGATTCCGCCCTGGCGCGAATTTCTTCAGCGCGTGCATTGATCACAGGGATTCCAAGTGCTTGGGCAGACTCCACAGACACCTGACCCACAGTATAACTGCCGCGTGCAAGCTGCTCAAAGGACTTACTTTTGGTGGAAAAGTCGCGATACTTGTTAGAAGGCATTGTTTGAAATCGGGGTGTGGCGCTAGTTTCTGGTTCTTTAGTATAGGCGTCATCATCCTCTGCAACCAAAGTCCTCTCAGAATCTTCCCTTTCTTTCAATCTCTGGTTCTTTCTATCAAGCGTGTTTGCAGGTGAAGTCGTGAAAAACGCGGGCATAAACGGAGCTACATCCAAAGGAGAACAAGGGCTGCTAGGAGCAGTGGAGTTAGCGGAGGAAACCGAGTTAGGATTGGACGCTACCGAAGGACAAGGCTCTGTTGTCTCGGTGATAGGAGATAGCTGATCGGTGGGAACTTCCGCAGGGGGATCAGGTACGTCAAGGCGCGTGCGCTGCTCTGGAGGATTTCTAGGACTGCTGACCGCATTATTGCGGGCGAGCAGGATAGGATCATCGTCGTCTTCCATTTCCGCTCCATCCGGGATCTCGCGTAGCTTGTCCTCTGTAAGCCGCTGAAGTACTTCCAGTCTAAACTTGTTCATATCCTCACTGCTGACACTCGTGTTGAGTTCGTCCTCTTCATCCTGCGAGGCGGGTGCACTAGGAAGTTTACTCGCTCTCACGAACTTTCGAGGAGTCTCGACGCTCTTCCCAGCTAGGATCATGGCTTCTATCTCCTCAAACTGGTTCAGTTCCTTGGTGGAGATGTCACTCGTGCAACTGTCCCGGACAACTGACAAATAAGAAACACACAGTACAGTATACATTAATAAAGGACAATTAATTAAAGCGTGGCCGAGTGGTTTAGGGCGCTAGATTTGAAATCTAGAGGTCCCTGATTGAAATCCTCCAACCTACCACTATCTGGATTTGTTCTCGGTTATCCCCGTGTTCAACTCCTCGACCGCGTCATGTAAATAGCCAACTGGTCAGCCTTCCTCCAGTTGGAATTCTTAATAGTTTATGTTCCATTTGCAAAACTTGTTTATTTAATTACAGTGTCCCCCAAGGTTTTTTCCTTTTTGTTTGGTTGATCTCTCTCTCAAAAATAGATCATTTCATAGTAATTGCGAGTGCTTTCTGATAACCACATCCCACAGAGGTTACACGGAATAAAATTCAATACCTGCAATTAACGAAATTACTCGTCTTCGATCGAATAAATGTTGCAATACCCGTTGGCTTGACCGATGCATGTAAATTTCTGCATCGCTCGGAAAGTAACGATAAAAATGTTATGTTGTTAACGAATTAACCCGAAAGAAGTTACACTCTCAAAGTTACGACCGTGTAAAAGAAGCGACCGCAAACTGCATTCAGTTGACTTGCTATGAGAATTGATGGAAAAACGGAAAGACTAAAGACTATACAACAAGCTGAAGCGATATAGTCTGATTATTTGTTTCAGACGACCAGTAATACAAAAGCAATATATGACTCCGTTTAGATTTATCCCTTTGTTCTCTTCATATACATGTATTCAGTGTGAACATCATTACTTTACTAAGATGGATCAGCCCATATGAGGTACACATTTTAGCTACCACAAAGTGGAAATCCCACAAAACTTGCAACCCTCCAAAAGAAGCGAGAGAAAAGGTTGCAAAATACGCAAATGACAAGGGTCGTTACGCTCGGAGCTTAATACCATGGGCATCACAATGCACATGAGCATGGGTCATGGTCCAATAGGCAATTTCCGAGTTACCTTGTGCCTTTGCTTTAAACGAGTCTTCGTACAAAACCTTTCATTTGAAAATGAGTTTGACTTGCATGAAAATGAACCTGCAGGGGGAGGGAACACATTTTCATATGAATGGTTTTCGCACGAAGACTAGTTCTGACACAGAGCCAAAAGGTAACTCGGAATGGCCTATTGAAGTCTTAGAGCAGTATACAATTGGTTACCTGATTGCGCAAAGTGCTGTCTCTCCCTCGGTTTATCTCCAGAAGGCCTCATATTCAGACTATCTGTTGATTTAGGACTTGAGGACAGACTATCTTGAGACGTGTGCTCGTCACGCTTAGTTTTCAATCCGGATGACGTCACAGGCACGTGGATCCCTTGAGTGCCCCGCCGGGGTGTACCCCCTTCTGCAGTCCTCTGGGGAACACTGCTGGTTGGGTTTGGTCTAAGTTGTGAGAATACAACTAAACGTAAGATGAAACTCATAAAAAGCACCATCCCATCAAACCTCGACTGGTTTTAAAAGGGAGTAAGTTACAGTCTGATTTCATTTTATGGGAGGTAAAGGTAAATCACGTTTTCAATCTTAGAAACTAGAGGAGCCACTACCGGTTCCACCTGTCCCCAGGGGTATTGCAACTCCCCTAGGGTAGGGTGCTGCATGTACAATGTAGTACATCCCAGATACATGTAACTTTCTAGTATTTTATCAGGCCGCACATGAGCTCACAATTTGCCAGCACTTGGGTGAAGAGAGACTTGGGGGAGTAACATATCTTAAACACAAAACTGGCAGCAACCAGCAGTTGAATTCTTAACTCGAGATAAGAGTATGGGTGGTTTGCAAACAATCTCCAATAGACTGAAATGACAAAGGTGTGGCAGCCATACTTGTCGTACAAACAAAAGAAGTTGATTGGAAATTTATTTTTGGCAATAACACCACATTAAAACAAGAATTAAAACCAATGTATAGATCTGCTACTAGCTGACCATCCTTCCTGCCCCCTCATAGAAATTGTACTGTTACTGGAGATGACGAGCA